TAGAACTGAGTTTTAATCCCAGCCTTGCTACTTACTAGTTGTGCTTGGACAAGTTCTAGTTCCATTCCTTCTCTCAGTTTCACTTTCTAAATTATAAAATGAAAAATCTAATAGCACTTTCCTCATAAAATTGTTAAAGCTTGCATAAGGAAATGCAGATAAAGCATTTATTATTTATATCTGGGACTACATGTATACTACATGTTTATTAAATATTACATATAATATATACTACATAGTCTAGAACATCAGGAAATTGTATAACATATCATTTGACCCCCCCTTTTTCTGAATTGAGCTATTAGCCATTGGCTTATAATGAGGGGCATTACAAAACTGCTCTTTGAAGCATGTTCATTCAGCAAGAGTTATTGAGGACATCATTTATGTTTCATATGTTTCATGGCATCTGTTCTGTAACGATCTTGGGGGAAATAGTTCTGTCAGGTCTCAGTCTAAGGAATTGATGACTTCTCCCCAAGCATTGGGTTTGTGTTTCTGTTTTAAATTGTGTAACTGATCATATTGCAATGCTGTTCAAGAAGCTCACAACCAAACTTTCAGACCTTCTTTAGCAAAGTGTACTGGATCTTATGACATGTGTTTTGAGAGCTTGTTTGGAGATTCTAGCAGGGGAGTACAGCTATTTGTATACCCTTGACCAAAGAATGGTCCTTCTTTAGTGGGAATGTTTGTTCTCTTTGACCAAGCTTGCAGCTTTGAGAGGGATGCATATGGAGTGTGAGGAAGGGGACACATGCCTAGCCAGCCGGATCAGCCAAATGAACCCTGGTGATGAATGGGGTGACATGTCACAGCCAGATTGCCTTCACATCCATTTTGAATACTGATCTTAACCTTCATTCCTCTTTCCCAACCTTATCCTTATATTCTCTTCCTCTTCAGTTTCTTCATGTAACGTCTATCTTGTTTTCTGCTACATCTTCTTAAGAGACTGCAGATCATTTATAAATGAGAAGAAACACAAATACACTTAATATAAAAATGCTAAAATGTAAATCTGTAAAATAAAAATGCTAAAATGTAAATCTTTAAACCTTAAGAACATACTTGACCTTAAAAAATAATTGTGGATCAGGTGTGGTGGCTCAGCCTGTAATCCCAGCACTTTGGGAGACCGAGGCAAGAGGATTGCCTGAGCCCAGGGGTTCAAGACCAGCCTGGGCAACTTGGTGAGACCTCATCTCTGCAATTAAAAAAAGAAAAGCTGGGCATAATAGTGCACACTTGTAGTTCTAGCTACCTGGAAGACTGAGGCAGAAGGATCACCTGAGCCCAGGAGGTCGAGGCTGCGGTGGTCATGAACGTGCCACTGCACTCCAGCCTGGGCTACAGAGTGAGACTCCGACTCCAAAAAAAAGAAATAATTATTGGTTGGTAATTTTATTTTATTTTATTTGCCACTGTGCAAAGTCAGTTTAGAGTTTAAAGATTTGAGTGCTTCTGACATATATGACTCTACAACTTCTCTGTAGTGTCAGGAGTCTATGATTATATCCTCTTCCATAGTAGGCACATGGCTATATGTATTATTGATCTAGTCCAGTAGATGGCTAGATATAAGTGACGTGTTTCTCTTGTATTCTTGAGTGAGCAAAGTTGAGGTTTTAGAGTACTACAAAACTATGGAGTATCAAAAAAATGGAGTATCAAAAGGCTTGAATACTAGTACTTGCTTCATAAGAAAGTTTGTAAAGATGACAGGGCTATTTGTAGTGGAATGTGTGTACTGAAAAGGTGAGGGAAGAACTATAACAGGTAGAAAATGTAAAACCAGGGGCACTGAACAATTGAAATTTTTGTTTGGTGTTGGTTCAGCTTCAACTAAGGGAATTTTTTGAGGTTTTATACTATTTCAGTAGTTTCAAGGTATTTTGTTTTGTGTACAGTGGGCTATTATTTCCCTGGTCTTTCAAACTCAAATCTCAAAATATTGAAAACTATTATTTTTTCCCTAACCCTATTTTCCTTCCCTCAAAATCTAATTAGTTAGCAAATCCTATTGCATCTTCCTTTGAATCAACATTAGTCAAATTAGAGTCAATAGGAAGTAAGTTTATAATTCTTTCTGTCTCTAGAAGTTTGCAGGTTTATTCATAATTTCCATTCTTCTTGCTTAGATTTAGTGGACTCCTAACATTTCCTTCATGTTTGGCCTTTTGATCCTCAAATTCATTCCTATTCCTCATCAGCAAGTGAACCTATTCCATTGCCCTCTTGGCTAGCTATCTGTTGCCTGTGAAATCATCTGAATTCCTCAGGCAGGCATTCAGAGTGCTTTGTATTTTTGTTCTCATCTACATTTTCAACCTTACTGCTTGGTATTCTGTTATTCTCATATGTCTACTCTTGTTTTTTACCCTAATTTCTGTCTTCTCAGTACAATGCTCATAAAGATCATTAATGATGATCATGCTTATCAAGTAATGAGTTAGTTTTAATATCTGATGGTGATCTCAGAATTTCCTTTTAGTTTTTTAAAAATTTATACCAATGAGGATTATTTTTGAGATACAGTGTAATGGGGACCAGATGAGAGGACCATTCGCCTCCTCCTCCTCCTCTATTTTTAGAGATAGGATCTGATTTTGTTACCTAGGCTGGGGTATGGTGTCATGATCATAGTTCACTGAAGCCTGAGACTTTTGGGCTCAAGCAGTCCTCTGGCAGGACTAGAGACTTGTGACACCATGCCCAGCTAATTTATTTTTATTTTTTATAGAGACACGATCTTGCTATGTTGAGCAGACTGATCTTGAATTCCTGGCCTGAAGTGGCCCTCTTGCCTCAGCTTCCCAAAGCACTGGGATTGCAGACATGAGCCACTGAGCCTGACAGAAAGGACCACTTTCTATGTAAACTTAGCATGGCTGGGCTCTAGCCAGCTCAAAATGAAGTTTGGCTGTCCTCTCTATTGAAGAGCCAGGCTTAAGCAGAACTGGACTCAAGGTCAACTAATCAGAAGCCAATTCACCCAATGACCAGCTCACTTATGTAAGAAATGTATGTTAGTCTCAGTTGACCAGTTTTCCTTTTGTCTTCATAAAATGATGTTTAATGTGCTCCTGACTCCAGCCACATTGCCATAGGTGGAGACCTGGTTTCTTAGCTCTTATGGAAGTATTGTTGTGGGTGGATACTTGTTCAAATCGGTGTCTCTGTGAGGGGATAAGCACTGGGTTCTTTACTCTGTCATCTTGCTGATGTCACTCAGATTTTTTATTTAAGGATGTTCAAAAGTAGTGGGATTGGACCCAAGAATTTTAGATATCCTGTGAGTAATACCTTGTACTTTGAGGAGCTTGGGACTAAATAAGAGTGTGTATAAATTATGTGTAGCACATACACGCAAGTAATGTTAGCTGCCAGTATTATTACTCACTGTGTTTTGGATGCAATTCAACATTTAAAGCTATAATCTTCTGGATATCCAGAATGGATTACATTTGACCCTCAGTATCTGCAGGGGATTGAGTTCAGGACCCCTCTGGGATACCAAAACCCATGGATGCTCAAATAGCTTATATAAAATGGTAGTATTTGCATATAGCCTATGCACATCCTCGCATATATTTAAATAATCTCTAGGTTACTTACAATACCTAATACAGTGTAAATGCTATGTTAATAGTTGTACTGTAGTGTTTTTTATTTGTATTATTTTATATTGTTGTTTGGGTTTTTTTCCCTGAATATATCAGTCTGCATTGCTTGAATAGTGATGGGGAGCCTATGGACATGGAGGAACTGTGTATGCTTCCCTTGTTCTTGTCTTTTATTTAATATTTGAGCTTTTAGGCTGGGCTCGGTGGCTCAGCCTGTAATCTCAGCACTTTGGGAGGCTGAGGCGAGTGGATTGCCTGAGCCCACGTGTTCAAAACCCACCCGGGCAACTTGGTGAGACTTCATCTGTACAATAAATCAAAAACTAGCCAGGTGTGGTAGTGCATACCTGTAGTCCCAGCTACTTGGAAGGCTGAGGTGGAAGGATTGCCGGAGCCCAGAAGGTTGAGGCTGTGGTGGCCAGGAGCGTGCCACTGCACTCCAGTCTGGGCGGCAGAGTGAGACTCCAACTCAAAAAAAAAAATTGAGTTTTTAAAGTATAATTTCTATTTTTAACTAAATAACAAAGATTCTGTAGTCAGTATCCATCATGAACACTGAATGGCCTACTGAACAAGGAATTTTAAGCTTTTCAATAGGTGTGAATCCTGTGGTCAGACTATAATCAGCTGCCTTTTAATCATAATGAGTACAAATATTAATATTTTATAAAGAGTAGTACCACTTGTATTGCTGATATGTTTTTCTCACCTCGTAGTATATGTCATGGTGGCATATAGACTACTTCCAAGGAGGGGAAAATACCAGCTAGAAGCATGTTTATCTGTTTTAAATTACATACTTTGTTATAATATTATATTTTTCTTTGTCTGATGATCTTTTTCCCTGTTAGAATAACCTCAAGTGGTTACTTTTAATTTTTATACCATTAAAAGAAACCATGTAGTTAACATCAAGCTTAGAATTATAATTTTCAAAAATGGGTCATAATCAAAACATCTGTACATTGATTTGCAATTAAGACACAGCTATATCAATGGTAAAGAACAATGCTATATGAAACAAAACCCAGTAGCAATAATAGTTTTTCCTTGTAATGGTTTTCGCTTTTACTTGACATGAAATTGTGTCTTATTTATATATCACAGATGCTTATTCTATTTATGGCTATGTAGTATAACATATGCTGTTTTTTAATAAAGTTTAAAATTTTTAAATAAATTTTACATATGGCACTTTTAAATAGAAGTTTTCATACATATGAACAAAAAGAGACTGTATTCTAAATATTTGTATGTCAATATCTCAGTCTTTTCTTAAAAAGTTACTAAAATGTTTTAAAAATACTAATTACATAAATGCTGTACTTTGTTTTTGTGGAACTTTTCAATCATAATTTCCTTTTTCTTTTAAAGCTCAGTGGATAAGTCTGTCATAGTATATGATACCGTAAGTATTTTAAAATCTTTTGTGTGATCTATGTAAGATATTTTATTAGACTATTAACTTCAAGTTTAGTTAGGCCTAATAGAAAAGGTATTTACTCTGTTTATGACTACAACTATAACACATACAAATTCACAAATGCTAAAATAGTTATGTAGGTAAGGTATTGGTCTGGGACAAATCCTTAAATATTTCAATAAAGATTTTAAGGTGGACAGATTTTAAATCTGATCATAAAAAAATTACAGATTTAAAAAGCAGCAGTATTAAAAAATCACTTTCAACCAAATTAAACTTTTACACTAGGCTTCCATAACAACAAAGAATGAATATTTACCCAGGGGTTTTTGGTGAGTATAGTTGAACGTGATCTACCATTCCTCAAGTCCTGGCTAGATTTAGAGAGTAGGCTGAAAAAGAGTAGTTCATCATGGACTTGGTAAAATGGAAGTTTGTTTACTGATCCATGGGTAAAGACCAAGTTGTATGAGCGTGAAGAAAAATGAATGCTTTGCATGTAACAAAAATGTCGTTGGTGAAAGTACTCTCCAAAAGAAATCACTGTGGAGTGGAGCCTTATAATGGTCGAGTTCAGGCTGTATCTATACTAGCAAATTAATGGAGATATAAATCATTAGTAGCAGTAGGCCAAGCAAGTAATCTAAACTAGTTCTCCTCACAGAAGTTCAAGTCACAGGAGTGCTGACAGGAAATGGGAAAGAATACTCAAGCTCATTGAAGTAGATCCTTAATACTTCTCATGAACTTTTCATGAGATTTTACATTCACAAACACAATTATAACATGAAATTTTCTTTGTAAAATATTTATATGAGTCCCACTTTAAGTATACCTAAATGTCAAATGGCCACCTAGTATACTTAAAATCAAAGGGACTAATTTCTACTCACTGGTTCTGCAGTGTGTACAAGTCAAGTGCATTAGCAAAAATACAAATTATTTCTGTAATAGATGCTTAGGTTACTATTAGTAAGTTCAAACAAATAAGCAAATGCCAAGGGTCTATTGTACTAAAAATTTCTAAGAAGATGGTCAGTAGACACTAATACTGATAACTGAAAAGGAGTGAAATAAGTACCTATAATACTATTAAGTATGGATACCATTTTCTGTTATTCATTGAGCAAAGTTTGAACTTACATTAGTTACTCATAATAAATATTATAATACATACAGCGTATAACCTAGTTTTGTCAAGTGAGCGTTTATCAGTAACTTTACTCTTGCCTGAGTAAATTTAAAACCATTTCTGTTGTTTTTCAGAATACAGAGAATATACTTCACACATTGACTCAGCACACCAGGTCTGAACTTAGCCTCATTTTGTATTAATATAATTTAAAAATTAGTCAAATGATATATGATAATTGTTTTTATTAACTAGGTATGTCACAACTTGTGCCTTTGCACCTAATACACTTTTACTTGCTACTGGTTCAATGGACAAAACAGTGAACATCTGGCAATTTGACATGAAAACACTTTGCCAAGGTTAGTGAGGACATCTTTAACCCAGCTCAACCCAACTCACCGTTAAAACCAGAAATTTGGTAAATCTTTTGACAGGTTATTCACATTGCTTTTCTCAATATGAAGTATACATTCAAATTTAATATAATTTAAAAATAATTGTAGAGAAGCCCGTGTTAAAGTAGCTGATCTACATTAGAGCTGTGGTAAATGCTTTGGGGTGCAAATTCATGTATGCCACACACCTTCCATGGTTTTGTAAGCTGTTTATTTCTACTCCATATGAATTTTTCAGATAAATACAGCCTGAGGACCAAATAGAAATTATAGTTATATTTTGTTGGCTTTATTTTTGGCCTCATCAAGCAACACTGTCACTTAATTTAGGAATTTTATTTTTATCACTGTCAGAATTAGCCAAACATGGTACTAAAATGCAGGTGATGGAGCAAGTAGAATACGTTTGCTGGTATGAATTTTATATGATAAAGAACAATTATTTTTCTGGAGTGAAAAAGATCCCAAAGTGTAGTATTTAATGTATTGGTAAATGAATAATAAATAATTTTTAATTAGACATAGTTATTTCGAATTTTTTGAGATTTTCAAAAGGAAGTTAACGTAGTAAAACAGAATCAGGAATTTTCGTTTACTTTTAATTCAAATTGAGAATGTTTATACAGGACATACTTTTTTGTTTGTTGTTAATTCACTTACCTTTTTATTTATTTATTTTAAGCAAGGAGCACAGAAGATCTGCTAAAGCGATTTACTGAAGATTGGTCAGAGGAGGAGGTCTCAATGTGGCTTTGCGCACAAGGTTTAAAAGACCTCGTTGATATTTTCAAGAGGAATAACATTGATGGAAAAGAACTGTTGAATCTTACAAAAGAAAGTTTGACTGATGATTTGAAAATTGGTAAGATTAGTGAAAAACGGTTTATCTTAAAAACGACTTAATAATTTACTCTGGGGTAGTTGCATTAATAGTTTTCTCTAGCCGGGCTCGGTGGCTCAGCCTGTAATCCCGCACCTTTGGGAGGCAGAGGGGAGTGGATTGCCTGAGCCCACAGGTTCGAGACCCGCCTGGGCAGCGAGACCTCATCTCTACAATAAATCAAAAAAATCAACC